GGGACAGTCACTACTAAACCCCGGCCGGGGTCCTCGTCAGACGCGAGGCGAGGTTGAACGGCATCGCATTGGAACACTCCATAGCCTTCTTGCCGATGTCCTCAGATGCCTGGATCAGACTGACCACGGTCCCTGCCTGGTCAGACGCCTTGCCACGCACCATGGAGATCACGATGCGGCTGCTCAGGCGGCGGTACTTCTCACAGAGGTCGCTGTCAGACGAAGCCGCCGCCTTGCCGAAGGCCCATACCAGAGCCGCGACCTTCGTATGGTCCTCAGGCGACAGCACAATCTCGCCTGACTTGGTCTCATCAGACGTCACCGTCGCCGACACGAAAAGGGAGGTCTGATCAGACCTCCCTTCGAACCAATACTCGGCCGCTTCAGACAGCACCTCAGGCGGTGGCACCTCCAGGGTCTCCACAGAAACGTCCTTCAGGCTCGCTGAGAATGTGGAGGCCTGTCAGACGAGACCGAACCGCCAAAAGGGTATCTCAAGTCAGTCTTACTTCTTAACAATCTAAAGCCAGCCGGCCTCTTTCAGGCTCGAGCCCTGCCAGGCATCTGGAAGAATGGAGTGAGTGCCGACCTTCTCCGCCTTAGCCGGAAAGAGCTTCTTCTTCTTCAAAAAGTCCAGGGCCTCTTTCACGGCTTCACGCCCGGTCTCCATGGCAAAGTCCCCAGACTCCACCTCGGCAGCCTCAGCCGCCGTGGCCTCAGCCTTAGCTTTGGCAGTTGCCTTGGCCGCCTTCTTGGCCCCACTCGTCCGGCCAGTTTTGGGAGCCATGGCTTTCGCTAGAGCCGGGGCAGAGCGGCCCTCAAAGCCGCAATCTCTAGAGCCGGGGCAGAGCGGCACACTGCCGCCTCAACAAGCTCCCCGGTCTTCTCTGACTTCTCAAAGCCGCAATCTTGCGGGGAGGAGGTGGTCAACCCATCATGCCAAGCCGACTTCTGAAACGATTCAGCCGACAGTCCCGGCCTTCTGAAGAGATCGGCTGTTCGGAAATCCAGGGCCAACAGAGAACGTACCTCAGGCATGCAGGGCGATTGAGGCGAGGGTCAATCGTTCAACTTTTAACTGGCTGAAAGAAAGTTTGTGAGATAGTTGCACGCCAAACCAAGTGTGCAGGAATACGCCTCGGCCCGGGGCCGAGGTGTATTCTTGTACACCGCGACAAGATGACATCTATACCAGGTCATAATAACACAATACAAGGCCATCTGATGTACGCCGAGCCAAGTGTGCAGGAATACGCCTCGGCCGAGGTGTATTTCTGTACGCTAGGCAGACCCGACGACTATCTCACAAACTTTTATTCGGCCAGTCGAAAGTTCTTAGGCAGCCACTCCTCGTGGACCCATCGCCATGACGTCCAGTCTCAGACCTGCAGAGGTCAATTCTCTGGGCCCAGTGGCCTTCCCCACTTGGGAGCGGTTGGCTTGCAGAAGCTCACTCAGTCTTTGCACCTCGGGTCTGACTCTAACGGCACGCTAACGGAACCACGGCAACCACACCCATGACGGAAAGATATGTCCGAAGCTTCTGCTGTTGGCCATTTTGTAAGGAGATAATGCTCCGGGAGCTACCACAGTTCGAAGGGCTACGAGATTGACAATTTTCTGATGTTTGTCCAAAACACTCTGCACGCTCTTGCTTGACATATCAGATGGATAATCACTGTTGCTTTGGAAATGCGAGCACGACTAGCATGGTCAGCCGTGAATATCGTGGTGTAATCCTCTACTGGCAAGTTAAAAATCCCCAACCGATTTGGACAACTTTGACAATATTGATAGGGTGACAGCGACATTATGATAATCATAGACAACCTGCCCTGGGGTTACATGGCTTAAACTTCCCTTGACTTTTCAACCCGGGCACGTGGACCCTTTCCGCCTTCGGCCGTCGAATCCCCGTGCTTGAAGCAGGACTTCTTGGCCTCAGCCGCAAACAAGTAGTGTCGTTCTGTCGGAACTCCAACGGGTATCTTGGCTCCAGGCCTTCTGCTGGACATGGGCCTGGGTGCGACTGGCACTCAGGCTGTGCAGCCGGCATTCCAAAATTGCACACACGAACACAAGTATTTTCTTCGGCTCCCTCATTCAATGTCAAAAACCGCAAGCTCGGAAGCTCCAGACTGATCTTGGGTGCTTCTGCCGTCTCAGATCAAACGCCGGCACAGCCTCGCTTACTACTCAGCCGAATCATTCATGCTGGAGTTGTCGCTGTCAGGCTCGTCGTCCAACTCCGGGATGCAACCTTCAAATGTCCCACTCAGCCGAAAAGCCCGCTGTCATGGCCCAAGGCGCAAATCAAATGTCTGACTAAGGCGGGCACCGTCCTTGATGAGGTCCACCTTCTTCCGCTTCAGACTTCTCAGGCGGCTCATGGTGGCCGAAATCTGCCCGTCAAGCTTGGAGACCAACATCTCCTTCATGCTCTTCTCAGACCAAACCACAAGCTTCACCTCGGCCTTGAACATCCTCAGGCTTTGCATCTCGATCTGACCAGGGCTGATCCAGTAGTCCTGTGGCAAGTGGCGGAAAAAACAACGGCCCCGATACGACGAGAGTGTCTTCGTGCTGCCGGGCGGCGACAAGGGGGCAGCCAGTCAGCTGCAGCTGCTCAGGCAGCTCCTTGAAGAACATCTCATACAGCAGAACCCTTGGATCGTTGTGCGGTTCGGGCGACCGCAAGCGGCCGCAGGACCTAGACCTTAATTTTTGGCCAAGACACTCAGCCTTCTTCCCACGACTCATGAGAAACGCAAGGAGGGCAGGCCCGCTGAAGCCGGTGAAGTACACGTGGGGCTTCTCAGACCGTGTATTCCCGGGTGTGTCGCGAAACAAGACGTTCGACATGGACATGTTCAGGCTGGAGTCCACCAGGCGGTAGAAATGCCACGGCCCTGAGGCTGCCACTGTGTCGTTTAATTAGGGATCACAATTATTTCAGCTTCAGCAACCCCACAACTCCCTGTCCTTCGGCAGGCCCACGATCATCCTCAGTCTTGATGTACTCTCCCGCATGCACGTTCAGCTTGGCCTCGAAGAAATCCATGGTCATTGTTTTCGGCGGCGGCGGACGCAAGATGGTCTGAACCGGAACTCGGAACAAAGGGGCTCCTGTCGCTCGTCCGTCAGTCGCCACGTGCGAGATGATCCTGTCCGTCATAGCCGACGTTGGGTCATGGACCGTCAGGCGAAGGAACTTTGTGCTGCACCCCATGAACTTCATGATGTTTGTGGAACCAGTCCACGAGCTGGAGCCGGAGGCCGCCGACACACTGACACCGTCAGCCTCCGCAGTCTTCGTCTTCCTCCTAGTCTTCTTCTCAGGCATCGGCGGAAGGGCATCGCTGACTTTCAAGTCCAGCCTTAGTTACCAGACTGCCAATAAACTAAAGAAATTACATGACCGAATCACGTTTTTCGATCAAGCCGCTTTCTGGCTTCAAGCCTTGCCGCTGCGACAAAGCACGCCTCGGGCGAGTCAAAAAACTCGTAGTGCTGCATCTGGGCCGCCTTGACGTCGTCCCGAATGGCAAAGCCGAGCATGGCGAAGGACAAAACAGCACGCGATCCGTCACAAGGAATTTCAGGCAGCTGGGGCCGACGCAATATCAGGCCGGGCAAACGATGACAATCATTCAGGCTCAAGCAGAACCACGGAAGCAAGGGGAGTGCCAGTCTGAGGCCGCAACTCCCCAATCACACGGTGGAGCAGCAAGTCGAAAGTGAAAGATACCTCAGAAGAGCGGTGCTTGCAGGCATTCACGAAAAAAACTTTGCAGCCACTACTGCTTCAGAGACAGTCACCAGCACAGGTCAGAGGCAGAAGAACATCAGCAAATATTCGCACCCTGGCCTATACCGTGTACTTGCAAAGTCGTATGCAGTGATTGAAACAGATTAGGAATTCCTAATTACTCTGATTTCCGTGCTTCAGTCAACATCATCACACAAAATTTTAAGAACCAAGATATACGTAAAGCCTCCATGAGTGTACAGCTTGCATCCGTCCTAATTCCGGCCATAAGGCCTTTGACTGAAACACACACCGACGCCCAAACCATTGCAGACAAATCATCTTGGACACACAATTGCTTCACAAAACGCAGTTAACTGCCAACAAAAAAACAACCCGATGGCACTGAAGACATATCTTCTATCCACTTGACTCATAGGAACCCTATTAGATGCAATTTTTTTATGCGGCAATAATTACACTCCATAGTGGAATCTGTATTAGGTGCATTATACTTTGTCTTCAGTGCAACAGTGCTGCACTGAAGACAGCTGTAATTGCACTGAAAACAAAAGCCCTTGAGTATATTGCTAATGACACTCCATAGTGGAATCTGTATTAGGTGCATTATACTTTGTCTTCAGTGCACCAATGCTGCACTGAAGACAGCTGTAATTGCACTGAATACAAATCCAATATAACTATTTTTACACTAATTAAAATTACACTCCATAATAGAATCTGTATTAGGTGCATTATACTTTGTTTTCAGTGCAGCAATGCTGCACTGAAAACAACTGTAATTGCACTGAATACAAACCCACTATTAATATACTTCCCTAATTGCATTCCATATTGGAATTTATATTAGGTGCATAATACTTTGTCTTCAATGCAACAATGTTGCACTGAAAACAATTGTAATTGCACTGAATACAAACCCACTAAATTGCATTCCATATTGGAATTTATATTAGGTGCATAATACTTTGTCTTCAATGCAACAGTGCTGCACTGAAGACAGCTGTAATTGCACTGAATACAAACCCACTATTAATATACTTCCCTAATTACATTCCACAATGGAATTTATATTAGGTGCATAATACTTTGTCTTCAATGCAACAATGTTGCACTGAAGACGGCTGTAATTGCACTGAATACAAACCCACTATTAATATATTTCACTAATTACATTCCATATTGTAATTTATATTAGGTGCATAATACTTTGTCTTCAACGCAACAAGGTTGCACTGGACAACTGTAATTGCATTGAAAACAAACTAATTCCATTAAAATACTGATCCAATTACATGTATTGCAGTCCAGCTAGAGTGTTTGTTACATGCACGCAATTGCATTTGAAATCTATAAACAAATGTAAAACACTAATTGCATTCCATAATGGAATCTGTATTAGGTGCATTATACTTTGTCTTCAGTGCACCAATGCTGCACTGAAGACAGCTGTAATTGCACTGAATACAAACCCACTATTAATATACTTCCCTAATTGCATTCCATATTGGAATTTATATTAGGTGCATAATACTTTGTCTTCAGTGCCACAATGCTGCACTGAAGACAGCTGTAATTGCACTGAATACAAACCCACTCCTAATGGATTACAATGATTCCACTCCCTGCTAGAGTTTCTATTAGGTGCATAATAATTCGTCTTCAGTGCAACACTGCTGCACTGAAGACAACTCTGATTGCATTGAATACAAATCCAATAGTATTAATATATTGCTAATGTCCATAGCATAGCTGGTAGCCGTCAATGCATAGGGATCCGCTTTGTCGTAATTCATTGAATAATGATAAAATAATATTGCACTCCATATTGGAATCTGTATTCGGTGCATTACACTTCGTCTTCAGTGCAACAATGCGGCACTGAAGAGAGCCGTAATTGCACTGAATACAAATCTACTATTAACATGTTACACTAGTTACACTACACAGTGGAATCTGTCTTCGGTGCATTATACTTCGTCTCCAGTGCAACAATGCCGCACTGAAGACAGCCGTAA